AGCATTAATTGAAATTGAAGAAAGATGTAGCCTCAGCTTGACAAACCATTTATTTTCAACACAGATGCAAGCAATAGGAGCAGTGGTGCTCTTTTGTTTCAAGAAATAAATGGTCAAGAATATGTCATGGCATACTGCAGCTGAACTGGCGGAATTACTCTGCCACCAAAAAAGAGTTGTTCATCATATTTAAAGTCATAAAAACATTTCCACCATTACCTCTAAAGTAATAAAATTCTGCTCTGTGTAGATCATGCATCGGTGACCTGGCTTTTAAATTTCAAGGAGCCTGAAGGACAAATTGCCAAATGGATACAGTGTCTCCAGGAATGACATAACTATCCATTATTGAAAGGGATCATCACACAGAAACGCTGATGCCCTGTCTAGAAGACCCTGCCCAGAAAGCTGCCGATATTGTTACCCAGTCGAAGTGAAATATGAGCTGTCAGATGATGTTGATTTCATAACATAATGTGCCACTGGATAAGGTTGCACATTATGTTATGAATTCAACATCATCTGACCTAGACTTATGAAATGAAGAAGTCAAGAAAGAGCATTAATTGAAATTGAAGAAAGACCATTGAAAAATGGTGACATTAAACCCATAACTGACTGAATGGAATCTTCAAATACGAAACCTACCTGGCAGGACATTTTGATCTATAGTCCTAAGGAAAAACAATACTGCACTCCCTAGGACTCATTCCACGTATGAAATGATGTCTTGTACTGGAATTTCGAATCGGATGATGGAAAGGCATTCCAATAGCAGTTGACAGTTTAAAGATCATGGATGTTCTTAGAGAACTACACAGCAGTCCGACAGGATGCCACTTCGGAATAATGACGACTTTGCACAGAGTTTGAGAGCACTTCTACTGGAATAATGCAAGGGCTGATGTGCAAAAGTGGTGCCAATCATGCAATGTTTGTGCAGTTTGGAAAGGATCAAAGAAGCACAGCTAAGAGAAGCTGAAACATTAAAGTGTAGGAGTGCCATTTGAGTGCATCGCCTCACACATGTTAAGACCTCTGCCACGAACTGCTGATGGCAACAAATATACGCCCTCATTGTCATTGTTTACCTCACAAAGTGGCCTGAAGCATATCTTATCCCTAATCAAAAGGCTCTCATGGCAGGAGATAATGATGCAGTACTGGATTTCCAGATTTGGAGTGTGTCTTTAGTTATATTTTTATCAAGGAAAGAATTTTTATCTCCACTGTAATCAAAGAACTCTGCATGCTACTCAGCATTAGCAAAACCCAAACAACACCTTTATATTATCAGTCAGACGGCATGATAGAAAGATTTAATGGAACCATGCTTAATAAGCTCTCGCAGATGGTTTCCAGAAAACAGGACCGGGACCAGAAGTTAGCCCTGTTCTTACTAAGCTATCATAGTGCTGTCCACGAGACTAAAAGCTTTTTCCCATCTCAGAGGCTCTTCAGGTGTGATTTTTATCTGCCTTGTGATCTCTTGTATGGTCATCGCCTGAGAAGTACATTCAAGATCTTCAGGCACAGTTCGAAGTGATGCACAATTTTATAGCATATATCCGGTATAAGACCAAAGAAAGCATCAGCTTTCAGTTTTTCAATTCAGAGTAGACTTCAGAATATTAAAGGACAAACTGTCAAATGGACAGAGACTCAAGGAATATAACATAACTATCAGTTATTGAAAGAGATCATCATATGGAAATGTCAATGCTCTGTATAGAAGATCTTGCCCAGACAGCTGCCGATATTGTTACCGGACCAAATGAAATATGAGCTGTTTATCTGGTTGCATGTTGAGTTATGAATTCAAGATCACTTGCCCAGACCCATGGAATGAAGAAGTCAAGAAAGATCATTGATTGAAACTGAGGAAAGACCACTGAAAGATGGTGACATTAAACCCATAACTGACTGAATGGAATCTTCAAATACAAAAACCTACCTGGCAGGACATTTTGATCTATAGGCATGGTACACTGCAGTCTATAGTCATGGCATACATTTTAATCTAAAGTCATGACATACATTTTATATATAGTTCATGGCATATAAGTGCATCTAAAGAGGATGTTTTTGCATTGTGTTGTGTTTAACATTCTCAGTACTTTGAAGTGCAACTACTGATTGTGTTCTGTGATACTCGAAAGAGCTGTGCAAGTATTCTTTTATGTAAATTTCCATAACTGTAAAGTGTTTCTTTCAGCAAAAATAAATTTTATCAAGTTATCATGAGTTCTGCATGCATTGTATCTATCATAAACTCATACCAGGCAACAATATACATAGTATTTTATTATTTTAATAATTCTTGAATTCAAATTTTATTTTTCAATCTAAAAGCAAGTATTAAGAGTTTCCAGAGCAAAATATAGTTTACAGACTATGACAGGACTCAGGGCCTTAGCTGTTCTGGCTATCCCTTTCATCCAAAGCACAAGCACCATCTAACCAAAACTAATCCTATTTGCTTTGTAATAGAAATTTTTTTGCTATGCTTTAATACCTTCTAATGATCATATATATATATATATATATATATATATATAAGTAAAACCAATTACAAAATGATGACCTGTGCCCCAAGAAACAGGCTAGTTTTGGTAGATTGCACATTCACATTTAATGATAATGCTACTACACTGCAGACAAGCTTGTAAACAAAAGAATTCATTACGCAGCACGGAATTAACAACAAACTAGATAGGCTGCTCTGACACTGAATTTTATTTCCAATTTTTATATTATTCAAAATGAAGATATTAAACTCTTTTATAATTAATAACATAATTTATTCACAAAATTTAAAATCAAATTCATATATATAATATATCAAAGATGGATTGATCAACTAATTTAATTATTATTTTTCAAATATCCCAAAATAAAAAAGTAATGGGCCTTTGGAAACAAATAGGCCCTCTGGCATTCCCTAATCTTGCCTATCTATACCCACGCCACTGCCTCTATCCTACTGTTTTTGCCAACTTGAAGAGATGGAAATTCTGCCTCTTTGAAGTCCAGCATGGACAAAGACCTCTGAAAACAGTATCTAACAGGTACAGGGTCAGAGAGATAAGCAAATTTCAGTCAAACCTATTTTATTTCAATAGACATTCATTATGTATATGAAAATTTCATTAAATATATGAAGGAACCACAATATGTTAAATACCACAAAGGCGTGGTCCACAATATGTTAAAACGTATGAACTATGAAAAGTTTCGATAGGTACAAGTAGGGTATTCTAGCACATAAGAAACAGTCTTTTGTCAGTTTGAGCCTTATAAGTGGCAGAGATGATTTTAATAAATTACATTTTTTCTATTGATTAGTATATATTCATTTCGATTTCTGGAAATTTGAATGCAATATCTAACTATATTAACCAGTGAGCACTGGAAATTGAATGAAAACAAGTAAGATATAAAATAACAAAAAATTTAAAATTTACTAAAATAATAGTGCTTATTTGTCATAATAGTATAATAGTAAATATAAATAAAATAGATAAAAAAATCTTTTAAACATTTCATATCCAAACCATATGCACAAAAACTATCAAAGTGGCAAATTCACAACTCCAAAATGCAAAAGTTACAATAAAATAGAAGTTTTACCATGCAAAATATGCAAAGTTAACAATAACAAAAAAGAAATTTAGTCGAGTAAACGGAATAAGCCAGATAATGTTCTCAAGAGGATAACTTTATCTAATGTTAATACCATTTTTCTAAAACTTTTGTTATGTGAATTGGAACAGGCAAAACCAAAATAGTTAATGGTTAAGATAACTAACTGAATTAAATAATAATTATTAAAATTCATCTAGAAACAAAGGATTTGGGAGTAGTACTGTTACGTACTTATACACACACATACATGCATACAAGGTTTAAAAAAAGTTTTGACACAGAAACTAAACAGAATAATATATAGTCCCAAAATAAAAATATAGAAAAAATATTATTTCTTTTCTTCTTTATGCAGCAAATGAAAGTTGCACATTTTATATAAATAGTGCAATATGATAGTTTTATACTATACAACACTCAAACATGCATAAAACTTAGATTTTGTATGCAACAATATGTTATACAGTCAAAAGTCATTAATCTTTGTTGAGACTTCGGCGATTCCGGATTATTGATTTTTCTGGATTATAGATCATCAGTTTAAATCTGCTAAGATGGCATGCAGAAATTTTAAAATTAAAAATATGAAACCGTAATTTATGAAATAAAGAACAATTATGATCTAAAGGGTATCAAAATTTACAAAAAATAAAGCTTAATATTTATTTGTTTACTTTATTAAAAATTTCTTTCAATGTAAGTTGTTTAAGTTGCTTCGTTTTATGTTTCGTTTTCAATAAAACTCTGTGTCACTTTCTTCACTATCGGAAGCGAATTATAATGATGAGGAATTTGATTTAAATCATATCAGAGATGGAGTACATTGAGATGAAATACTACATTTAGTAAGAAATTATAAACCAAATAAAATAAAAACATCTGCCCTGAAGATAAAGAAAGTGTTGACAGATCAACTTCCAATTCATTGCGCCCCGCGGCGTAACGTTTTTACATTATATTTTGCATATTATAGAACTGAATCCCCCTTCCAATAGAGATCTCATGTAAAAAATAAAATTTTACATAGTTTTATTGAAACATATTACGGAGCTAAAATTATCATTGCCTGAAAAAATACCTTTATTTGAAGACACTAATGGAACCATGGGCATAAAAAAACTGTTCAAGATAATTCAGTCTTTTTTTAAATGTGTTACATAACTTACGGATAGGAAAATTTATTGTTTCTCATAAAGTATTGCTTATATTCATATTTAAAACATATTTTATAGAAATCAAACCACAGTTTGCCCTTTCTTGATAAATACAACTGTGATGTCATACTGACATCATTATAATCACATAACTGAAAGTTAGAAAAAAAAAAAAAAAAAAAAAAAAAAAAAAGGTTTTACCTTTCAGATTAGTTTCAATCACAGTAGGTAACAGATCGTCATAGCTTTTCATTAAATGGATGGTGCCACTTGCAAAACAAACAGCTAAGATAGATGCTTTAGTATCGCCTAAGAACACAGATTCATTTTGTTGAATAAATTTTTACATAATATAAATAAATACAAATACAGAATTAAAGAATAAAAGAAACATTTTTCAAATAAAATTTAAAATACAACTGTCTTCATTAACTGCTGAAAAATTTTATTAAATGACTATAACTAATAATAATATATAATTTTAAAAAATTATAATTATTAAATTTATAAAATTTATTTTATTAATTACTGACTGACCTCAAACAATTCGTAAAGAATTGTTTGAGGTCAGTGCATTTCAGAACTCAAATGCTAAGATTTAATATGAATTATTGAAAACAGCCCCATTTTATGAGGATAAAATTTCAAAATTTTGCTGCTACAGTACAACAAAGTCCGAGATTCAGACTCGTTGGGACTTTGGCTATTCCAGATTTGGGATTTTTCTGTATAACAGATGATCAGTCTAAAGCTAGTAAAATGACATGTAGAAATAATAATAATAGTAATAAAAAAAAAATAGTGAAGCATATATGATTTTAAGATAATGAAACATTTATTGCTTTAGAGGCATAAAAATTTACACACACAAAACAGGGGATGCTCATTATTTATTTGTTTTATTAAACATTTCTTTCAATGTATGCTTAATCTGCTTTGTTTATTGGCTAATACTTTCTCTTTAATTCTGTAGATGGACATAATTCCATGTTCAGTTACATTGTTCCGTTCTGTAATTATCATGTTCAAGAATTTCCATTAAATTGTCATATTTAAGTCCCATTAAATTGGAATGTTTTCATTCTCAACAACTTATCTGTACTACCGGTAGCCACATCTTCTTGATTTAGATCCATACTACAGATTTCACTGTCCATTCGCTGACTGATGATGAAGCATCTTCATTGCAACGAAAAGCTTCAGTTATATCACATTCATTTATTACCACTTTTCACATGTCTTTAAAAATTCCATTAATCGGAAAATTTTCCTTCTTGTTTGCGAATATGAACACTTTGAATTCGTGGCTATCATCATAAAGCTTAGTTAGCACCCATTATACACTATTGACGATGTATCATGAGACTGGCGATTTTAAAATCATGTTTCGCTAAATTTTATCTTGCTTCTATCGCACATTGATGAAGTTGAGCTTGAATTATATTATTTATTTATTATAGTTATGTCCCTTTCTGCACATGATTATGGCTTATCTGGGCAACATAATAAATAAATTTTCACATATACTTAAGATTTATCCAGGGCAGTAGCTGGACATTTTGCAGCCAGGTATGGTTTCTGGGTGTCCGAAAATCTGCTGCCAATTTTGTCTCTCCTAAATGTAGCTTCCCAATATAACTGTACAAGCTCTGGCACCTGACCTGGGCTTACCTCAATAACAAATAAGTTACTTTCATTTCTGACCTATGAGTATCATTTACAAAATCTATTTTTTGCACATGGAAAGTAATTTCTGTTAAATTTTTCCTTATCAATACCCTTAATACTTTGTAATGGTATTAGCTGAAGTCTGGTAACATTGCCAAGTGTAATATCAACATAAAGATTTACCATGTTCCTTGGTATTTGATTACTAATATTTAAAAAAAAAAAAATTTAACGCATTGCTGCATGAGTCATTTCTAAAACAGCAGTCAAGCATCAATGAAAGTAAAAAACAATAAATAACTAGCAGGCAAGCCCACCAGATGAGTGGTCTGCAGTCAAAGCAAAATTTCTATTCCATAAAAAATTTTACTCTACCTCTGTTTAGAAAAGATGGATGGCAATTTTAAAATTTCATCTCCTACGCACTTCAATGCAGCATGCCAAACAGCAATAAAGTTCAGAGGGGGGGGGAAGAAAAAAATGCAGGGTTAAAAAATTAGTGTTTTCAGAGTTTTATTAATTGCTATCTTAGCTGATTAAGTCGTAAGATGATAATTATCAAAATGGCTTCGCACAAATGTTTGGAATCCGGGGGGTACCTTTCTTAAAATTCGACTTCCCACCATTACGGAGCAGATGATGTTACAAACAAACAGACAGTCACAGATTTTAATAATATTAATGATTCACCAGGTGGTTGTGGGCACCAAAGTGAAATTAAGAATTGAAACTCTCCACAAAGTTTTTTTGTTACGATAAAATATCAAATTCATAAGCAAAAAGCATTAAAAAGTAATAAAGAAATAAATTGGGGGGGGGGGAAGGTTGCTTAGGATCCAAAGGTTTGGAATTTAGATCATTTCATATATTGGAGATCTGTATTCAAACTTTGCACTGTATTAATAAAAAACATAGAAAGCTGACAGAGATCGTTTATGAAGCAAGTAATTTTTTTAAAAAAATCTGATGTGGACACCACATGATTTCTCCATATGGCCTATTAAATTATACACACTTTTTTTTTTTTTTTTGCTGCAATTCCTTTAAACTTTTTTTCTTGCATTATTCAAACTTAATTAACTGGTCTTTCAAGGCAAATTGAAAAGTTTGAAATTAAATATTCCAGTCAATTTGTGTCGTAACTAAGCCTAACTTTTTATAATTTTGCTTTTTCATAACAAGTATAAAACTTTCCCAAATATTTCTACAGGAACTGGGAGGCTGTATGAAAAGTTAGATTTCATTATTTGTGGGTTTTTTTTTTTTTATTTGGCACTGCCAAAACATGAATATTTTCATAAAACACTTCTGTAATTAAAAGTATATAACTACAGATAGAGGGCAGATTGTAATGGCCCAAAGATTCAGAACATCTCCAAAACTACATGACTGATAGGTTGTTCACAATCTGCTGTTGTCAATATTTATGCAAAGAGGATAAATGATGGTAAATCCAGCAGTTGATGCCAAGGTGTTTGATGCCCAAGTGTTATCAAAATAAAAGACATCCAAGACTGTCTTGCTTGGTACAGCAAAATCAGCACTGGACAATGTCTCAGCTGACAGCCCAATGCAGTACAAGTCCAAGAGCAAGAGTTTCAGAACACACAGTTCAGCAGACACTGTTTAATATGGGACTGCACAGCAGACGCCCCACTTGTGTGCCTCTGTTGACCAAGTATCGTTGTCAACTATGTCTACAATGTGCCCGAGAACATCGAGACTGGACGATGGATAAGTGAAGACAGTGGCCTGGTCAAATGAATTGTGATTTCTCATTCATCACATTAATGTTCGTGTCATGGTACGCCGTCTTCCAGGCAAACTGTTCCTTCCCATGTATAGCAGGTCATACACAATCTCATGGTGGCAGCATTATGTTTTGGAGGATATTATCACGGGTGGCTCTGGGACCCTTAGTTATGCTAGAACAGACCATGAAAGCTGCAGATTACCTGATCATAACTGCAGATCACTTGCACCTTTACCTGGCTTCCCAAATGGAAATGGAATCTTCCAGCAGGACAACACTCCATGTCACAAGGCTCGAACTGTCTTAAAGTCGTTCGAGAAGCATAATGATGAATTCCAACAAACTTGCTGGATCTTAACCCCATAGAGCACATTTGGGATGTCATGGGGTGGTAGCTCAGAGCTCAAAAATCACCATATCAGGATATCTCAACTTTGCGTGATAGATGCTTAGACATTTGGTACAACCTGTTTCCACCAAGAACTACTCCTGTTAGAATCAAGAACTTGTGGCATCCATGCCAAAGCGTGTTGCATCTGTTTTGCAGGGCAAAGGACATGCAATGCATTATTGAGTAGGTGGTCATAATGTTTTGGTACATCTAGTCAACTTTCCCCACCATCATAGTTACTTAGCATCAGATGTACCAGAGCAAATGCTGATATTTTCTTGTTGCACACATACCTGCACATCAGCCCCTAACAGCCAGAGGAAAGTTCTCACCAGAAATTGTCCCAAATGTTTTTCCATACTGGCAGAAATGGCTTGAAGATGTTTTTTTTACACGATTGCAGCTTATATTTGTTTACCTAATTAAGCTCCCCCATTATTACTTTTTTTGCAATGATGAAACAATATCATCAGGAATGCTGAGTTATGCTAAAAATAGGGTAAAAACAGCATTAAAGAGGAGATTACAGGTAGTTATAAGAGATAGACTATAGCAAGAATTCCAAAAGCTACAAGGCACCAGCAAAAAATGTATTGCAGTACAAGTGCATTATTTTGAAAGTTGGTTTATATTGATCTTTTACATGAAACTACATACCAATTTTTTAAAATTTTGGGGGACTGGCATATAGTTTCTCACTAAATTAAATGAAATCCTAGTGAACGAGTTTTCACTGACTGATCAGTGTATTTCATACCACAAACTGATGAAACACAGCTTTTGTCTTCTTTGCTTGGATAGCCAAAACTGTGACGATCATCATCATAAGATTCATCCATTTTGAATTTTTCACAAGACCAAGCCATTGATGCTATTGGAGATTCAGACTGCAAGTTAACTTGGGCTACAATAGCTCCATGAACATCAATAACAACAATTTGGCCACCAGATGTGCCAAACATAACCTGAATGGAGATTTAAGAGAAAAAAATGAAATTATGAGCATTTCAATAAAATATTCACTACTAAAGTTCTAAACACTAATTTTTAAAAACAAATATGTGCAAGAATTACTAAGTACATCTAAATTCTAAATACTGTAATACATCAAATACACAATCTCCAAAAAGTCATTGTCCACTGAAATTAACAGTTACCTCAAAATGCTGGTTCCTGTAAGTGATGCTGAAATTTGACATATGTTTGTTTAATGCCGATTGCAATTGCACTGTGTAGCTAATGATGTACAGCCAAATTATTTGCATACACTTTTCTCTTCAATCTTTCCTTAAGGAAAGTCAAGCAGCATGTAATTAATAGACCAAGATGATTACAGACTAGAGGATGACATGGCTCTTATATTAGAAAAAATATAATTATGATATTCACTGAACAATGACTTTCTGGATTGTATATACAGCAGAATTTACGGTAATATTCTGTTTTGAGGACCGCAAAAAAACTGCAGCGAAAATTTATGAGCAAACGCGCTCATTTAACAGTATGCCAAATCTAGCGTACGCGCTGATTTCAGATTGCATAGTTTATATAGTTCTATATTTCTTAAGATGCCATTGAAATACTAGTTTAATTTTTAAATCCTTTTTTGATATCTTATCGATTTAATAATTTGGTAATTGCCCATGATGAAAAGACTGCATTAGAATTTTGGGTAAAGTGCAGAATCACCCACTGCTTGAATTGCACACGGTATCCATGTGCACATCGACCTACTTTCACTAAAAAAAAAAAAAAAAAAAAAAAAATCCCAAAAATTGCACAAAAATGGCACTGCCCACATTCTTAACTTTATCTATGTACACAACGACCTATTTTCACTTAAAAAGTAAAAGAAAATTGACAAAAATCTAATTGTTTTTACCCTTGTAAAAAGCAGCAAACAAATAGTTGGGCAATTCTGCACTTTATAGAAAATTTTTTCAAAGAAAAGGCATGATACATTATAGAAAATTATGTTTGAACAACAAACAAGATGAAATTATGCTTTAGCGATAACTCGATAGCGAAATAGCGATGCAGGCATCCATTCAGTTATGTTTAGCAATTTTTATATAAATTATAATATTAATCTGAAATAGTTATTTACTCTTATGCTTCCATTCAATCATGTTTAGACTTTTTTTTATATAAATTATAATACTAAAAAAGTATTATATGAAATTAAACTTTTCATCTAAATTAAAACATCAATCTTAGATAGTTATTTACTATTATACTTCCTTTATTGCGTTAGGGTTGCCGCAATTATTTTTGACAGCACTGGCATCAACAACACTTTGGCAATTTTTTACGGCCCTCAAAACCGAATAGTATCGAATTTACTTTCAGTAACTTATTCAGCTATAAATTATTTTATCTTTATGGATATTATTTCTAAGTAGTGTCAAAAATTATATAGCATGCTCATACATTTTCTTTTGAATATTACTATCCCAAAATATAGTTTTCATTTCACTAATTACATTGTAAAGATTAAGTGGTATATATTTGATTTACAATGGAGCTAAGCAGTTTCTTGCAATTAGCCATTTTGCCTGTTAGCCGATTCTTTTGGGCTGGTATTGGTTATTCAATATTACTTACATGAGACTAGATGCAAAGCAGAGACTTAATAGTACTGCTCAATTTAATTAAGTACAGATTTAATCAGTAATTAAGTACAGTAATAGATAAGTACAGTAATTAATTATTAAGTACAGTAAACCAAAAGATTTAACACTTTTAAATACACACTAAAAACAAATTTTTAATATAATGCATTTTTTTTTTTCCCATTATGATGAAGCATTTCTAAAGAATTTTTTAGATTCATATTCTGGCATTTCACAGCAATAATTACATACCTTCTGGGGTTTTAATATGGGGATAAGCCATGAAATGCTTTCTATAATCAAAAGTTCTAAAGGGAAATGGCATTAAAAAGTGCCTGAGGATCGACACAGCTTGTAAAAAATGTATAGTTAATAAACTGGCTATTTCTGAAAATGCATATACACTGTGGTATATTTTTAAATTTAAAGTTATCACTTTAATGAAGAATATGAGTAAGGTCTTCTGAAAATAAATTTATTTTATTATTTAGAGATTAAGAGATACTCAAATTTATTAATCAATAAAATGAATATTTTTAGAAGAAAAGAAAATTTTTATTCATTAAATCTTATAAAATTTCTCTTAAAGAGCAATTAATAATATAGTTTGGTAATTAATTCCACTTATAGATGAAATGGGAAGAACACTTCACTATCATTCCTTTTAATTCTTGTGATCTTACTTTTGTTGGTTTGCCCAAAAATTAATTTATAATTTTGAAATCACTAGCTATTTAGAATATTCTTCAGTAAAGCAGCAAATAAACTAAAAATTCTGAAAGAAGTTAGAAATATTCCTCCTACAATCAAATGTAAAAACTTTTAAAGTACAAGTTTTACTTTTTGATCTGGTATAATCCAATGATCAGATATTCAGTAACTCTTATAATGCAGAATGTTTTTAATCTATGTGTTATTAATATGTAAATGTTCTATTAAAGTGGCATTACTGGTAGCACTTCAGATTCAAAAACTTTTTATACTGCATCAAACTGTTTAAAGTTTATATCTGTCTTAAATTCTTTTATTCAGTTACATTATAACCATTCATGATATTAATTAAAAGACAAAGAAATGCAGAAGACAGTGCTAGTAGTGCATTAACAAACACAAACATAGCAAGCATAAATTAATATCTGCACAATCATATATTAAATAATATACAGTACAAAGTCATCGGGACTTCGGCGATTCCGGATTAGGGTTTTTTTTTTATAGATTATGAATTTAAATCTGGTAAGATGGCATGCAGAAATTATACAATTAAAAATATGAAACCATAATTTATGAAATAAAGAGCAATTATGATCTAAAGAGTATCAAAATTTACAAAAAAAAAAAAAACAAAAAAACTTAATTCTTATTTGTTTACCTTATGAAACATTTCTTTCAATGTCAGTTGTTTAAGTTGCTTCATTTTTTGTGCTAATACTTTCTCTTTAATTCTATAAACAGACATAATTTCTTGTTCAGTTACAAAGTTCCACTGTTTAAGTCCTGTAATTGCTGTGTCGAGAATACCGACTAACTTGTCAATCGAAATTTTTTCATTTTCAATAACCTCTCTGTCACTTTTTATCAGAAGCGTGCATGGGTAAACGCTTTACGCGCATGCATAAACACTTTACACACATGCGTAAGTTTGTGGCTTTGAGGTCCGGATTATAGATCATTCCGGATAATGGATGCCCGGATTATGGACTTTGTACTGCATTAATATCTGCACACGGGCAGGTATATTTTGTAAATTTCTGTCATTAGTTTGAAAATTGAGTTATAGAAGAAGTTAGGTAAAGAATTATTTACAGAGACAGTTAGTTCCGTATGACCAAGGAGAATATTTTTATAATCTCTTTACATATATAAAAGGAGAGTATTTAATTTTTTCCCCTTAAAATGAAAGCCAGAAAAGTTTAAAATAGTAGAACACATTTTCTTTTCATATCTCAGCAACATACGAATTTTGAGCAAACTGGAAAGCCTGAGATATCAGGCGAATGTTTACTGAATGATAAAAATTCCTCTATGTGGCTGATTTTTCTTTTCCACTATTTTCTGTATTTTAGCAATTACTAGAACTGAAGACTGCTGAATTTAAGAGGTATGACTTTTTTAATTTATTTATTACTGTTCTTTTTTAAACTGCTAAAACTTGTGAACTCAAGTTTTTGTTAAATCTTACTAATGACAGAAAATTAGAATTTGAAATGTTCTTGAAATAAGAAGTATTAATGATACTTAGCTCAAAAATTTTAATTAAAATAAAATAATAAGTTCCAACCAATATTATTTACAGGATTTGAATATATTTTATCTCTGAAAAAATTATTTGCTAGAAGCCAAGAAATGATTTACATAAAGGATTTATGCTTAAAACAGAAACCTTAACAAACGCATGCAAATCAAGTTTACCATTTGTAGGTATTTAAAATAAGTTGACATTTCATATTCAAGGTATATTTGCTGACTACACAAATTGGTCTACTTAAGCTGGCTCGTATTTTAATGGTGTGTTTTAATGTTGGCTTGCAAAATGGTTAAAACTAAACTAAACTCAATGGCACAACAGCCCTAGTGGGCCAAGGCCAGCAGTGCCCCGAAATTTGCTTTCTTGACCATTGGCCCCGGGGTGCGTAAGCATATGCCCTGAACAAGTGGTCAGCTTGGTCACAGGACCCCCCCCCCCAGTGCTTAGTCCCCAAGCAAACTTAGTAGTCATTTTACAGGGTTCATATACATTTCTGCACACGGACATTAAGTATTTTTAAGGACCATTAATGTAAAAAATTAACGGACCTACGAGCAAATGGGAACTAAATAAATTCTATGAAAAACATTATCTATGCCTGAACTTCACTTTTGCATATCATCCTAAAAATAAAATAGATCCATAGGTAGGATGCTTTATTATTAAACATAATTATTAATAAGTTTGAGAATAAAATAAGCTTTATGAAATTTATCAAGTAGCATTAAATATTTTACACTTATAATAATTGGACATATTTGAAAGTAGATAAGTGGCATTTTATTTAGGTTTTACTAGCAGTTAGCTTTATGCTGATTTTTTTTTTAATGCCTCATTTTGTCACATACTTGCTCAGTCTAGAGGTTTAGTAATTAGTATGTAGACTTAATGTCAAGTGGCATAGGTTAAAATGAAGTAAAATCATTCACAGCATGATTCAAAACAAAAGACTGGCTGTTGTCACTGCTCCTGCTTGCCTCGAGAGAGACCTGCTGATCAGAACAAAGCTGAAAGGCCTGATTAGGCACAGTTGGCACGTGCTGAAAGTTGGATGGGCTCTGTCTGACACAGTTAGTGTCATAGCTTTAGTTCCAGGAGCTGTAACCCAGTTAATATACTTTAAGGATCTTGTGACCACGGTAAGGATTAATGAAAGGCAATAACTCGCTTTAATATGCAGATTTTAAGGGTAAGCAGTTATTTATAAATAATTAAATTAGGTAATTAAATAATCTTAGTCTTTATGGATTTACATGGCCACTCCTAAAATACCTTTTTTAACAATATTTGTTAAAAAAGTCCTATTAAAATCACAATCTAATAAATTTCAGTTTAAAATACATGTAATTTATGAGATTGATTCTTAAATGATATTAGGATAATTACACATTAAAAGCTACAAAATATTTATGTTTTGTAGCAACAACACTCAACAAAATATTTATGCGTCATTTTAATTTGAAGCCTTTCTAGACATTTTGGCTAATTTATATATTTCCTTCTCTCTTCTAATAATCCTAGCATTTTTTCTAACAGTTAGAAATTTGCCTCAATACGCAAAACAATGTTCTCACTAGTTTTTGCGTGTTTTATCTTCTAATAAAATAAAAATGAAATAAAATGCCTTCATTAGGAGTAAAAGAAAACACAAACCTAAATTTCTTTTTATTTCATCATATTTTAGTTTGAATGAATCTGATTTTAGAAATAAAGTTATGTTTGAAGGAGCTTTAACCAACATTTACAATAATCTACTTAATTTTGAAAATTTCTACAATATACTTTCCTCATGCATTTAAGAAATGTTATCTGAATTACCACTAAAAATATAGTAAATAAATTAAAAAAAAAGGATAATTTATTATTATTACACCTAATACAAGAAAAGCAGACAGCAAATAATAAAATTACCTGCTGATCATCTGGTGACCAAATCCCACAACTGATGGTATCATCCAAATTGAGCATTGAGGACCAGTATCTCTGACCAGAAACTGAACCAACTAAAACAAATCCATCTCGATAACAAATGAGGGCCATACGACCATCATGACTCCATGAAAAATCCGTGACTTGTATACTGCGATCATTTATTAATTCAATTGACCATCTTCCTTCATACTTAATCCACACAAAGATTGTTCCAGTGTTATCACAGGATGCTAATTTTTGATAGGGTTCATTCCATTTGACTAAGACAATCTGTAACAAGATAAATCAAAAACAGTTATTAAATTAAAAAAATCATAAGAGCATGGGAAAAAATACTAATATATAACACAGTATGTCACAAGATTTTTTTCTTCTCATACATAAATTCTTTACATTAAACACAATGATACAGGCTCAATAATAAAAATCTTTTGTTCCCTTTCATCATACATGAATAAATCTAAATTTAGAAAAATACTACAGAACAGATCACACTCATAGCAGAAATCATCACTTAGTTTTCACAAAAATCATACTACTTTCTAGATATACTCTTTCATTATTATAAATGCATACCATAAATCATACCACCATCAAAAATATACTAAGAAATTCAGGAAATATGATTATGAAAAATAGCTGATTAGCCTACTCCCTGTATTCCAATGCTGGGATATCATTGTAAATAGTAACTGGTTAAATGTACGTAAAATGATTATTCTCAGTCTCAACTCTGTCCCCCCCTCCCCCCCAAAAAAAAATGCTACCTGGAGTCTTTTTCTAACTCAAGTTGACTTTTTTTAAACTGCAGGACAATAATCTCAAGTGTATCAAGTCTTCATAGATCTGTTATTGACAACTCTGGATAGCATGGAGGAGAACTATCAACGAAGCACTTTTTCTTGATGATGATTGGAGCAGTCATCCCATAACAATTCATCTTAGTTTCATTTCAGTGACAAGATACTAAGTAATGTCTACCTGCTATGAGTTTACCAGCAATGTCTGCACTAGTCAGAATTTCTATAGAACCTCCACAATCATCAACAACATGAATATTACAAGTATATTCAACAAGTAATTTCAAATGAAGTTCAGGGCCTCCAGTTTTAATTTGCAAATAATTTGTTGACTAAGTTACAGTTCATTCATGTTCCATCAACACTAGATAAATATAAAATAAATACATAATATTTCCTTGCTATAGTGAATTCTGCAAATATTTACAATTCTCTGCCTTGTATGCCATTTCTCTTGTAATAAAGAGAATACCATGATGTGATGTCAAATATGGTTCTCACCGGTCGTTTTTTTTTCCCATTTACCCTTAGAATCCCTTTGAATACTCGTTACATAACATTCAAAGTTGTGGAAATATTTGCAAGTATTTTATTATACTCAGAGCTTATCTTCGATATTTTCATTTTGCTCCATGGAGTTTCTCTGCCAATAGATAAAATTGTTTGCTTAATTCATATTTCTATATAACAGAATATAGTGTTTTTTTTTGGGGGGGGGTCAATTAAAACAGCTAGCTTTAGATTGCACTTTTGTATTGGATGTCATGGCTTTAGGCAAAAGAAACAGCAAGATTCTTTGAAAGACATTTTTTTTCCACTTTAATACAGTCACCAGAAAAGTGAAAATTACAGTCAAAAGCCGTTAATTCGGACACCTATAATTCGGAATGATCTATAATCCGGACCTCAAAGCTAAAAACTTTCTGCGCATGCGCTGTGTTGACACATGCGCAAAGGCGTTTACGCGTGCGCGTAAGACCTTTACGACTGCGCATATGCATGTGCACAAGTGCAGAATACGTTTTCGCATGCGCGTTTAATGTATAACGGACGGTATAAGCTAAAATTATCTAATTATCTATTTCAGTTAATGTTGATGATTGCGTTGTTCCTTAATTTTCGAACTGGATGCGCTTATTATTTTTTGCAGACTGTAAGAACAATTTTATAAAAGTAAACTTGAACTTTCGATTATGTCAAATAGAATTTCCGATGCTGGAGCTCCCAGAGGATCTACAAAACGAAAGTATGTGTCGATGTCCATCAAACAAAAAGTGGAATTGCTGCAAAAAATGGATAAAGACATGAAGAAGGTGACAGAGAGGTTAGTGAAAACGAAAAAATTTCGATTGACAAGTTAGTCGGTATTCTCGGCACTGCAATTACGGGACTTGAACAGCGGAACTTTGTAGCTGAACAAGAAATTATGTCTGTTTATAGAATTAAAGAGAAAGTATTATCACATAAAATGAAGCAACTTAAACAACTTACATTGAAAGAAATGTTTAATAAAGTAAACAAATAAATATTAAGCTTTTTTTTTTTTTGTAAATTTTGATACCCTTTAGATCATAATTGTTCTTTATTTCATAAATTACGGTTTCATATTTTTAATTTTAGAATTTCTGCATGCCATCTTACGAGATTTAAACTGATGATCTATAATCCGGAATCGCCGAAGTCCCGACGTGTCCGGATTAACGACTTTTGACTGTAGAACAAAAAATACATTGCTCTGGACCTTGAGTGAAGGTCAAAAGATCAGCTGTCCTAAGAATTTCAGGAGAATCCAAATACTTAGTATTAATACTAATTGTTTCCTTGTCATTATATAATTTATAAACAAGTTTAATACTATCTCTAGCTCTGAAATATTCAAAACTCTTGTGAAGCAAGAACTATTCTTTCTTCTGCTTCTACTTCCATCTTACAAGAATTCTAAAACTGATCCAAAATCACTTTTTTTGCTACTCGTTTCACTGGCTTCTACATTATCTTCTTAAAGTCTATGTAAAAAATTTAACAGACAGATTAATTAAAGCAAACACAGTTTCATTTCATTCTAAACAAAGGGCAAAACACTGTGTAGAGTTGCGCGCCTCCAACTTGCACGCAACCAAGAGGTGACTGTTGAAACTGGATAAATGACAGAGTCTTGCTAAGGGTTTAAGTCCCTTTTTATTCAACGTAATAAATTACAAGTGCGTGGTCTTGACGCTCACAAACTACGCCAACTCGGCGGTCAAATAAAAATAATAACCTGAAAAGAAACTAATAACAAGACTCTAATTCCGAGGCTCTCTAAAAGTAACTAACCTCACCGCATTTTACAATACCGCTGCTAATTCAGCAAACTTTAAGATCACGTTGAACGATTAACAATTCTTAAGGCAAGCACACAGGCCGAAACGCGGGGTTCTTCAATTTCTGGCTAACTACCTCCGCGCTCATGAAGTAAGAACAGCACACCTCGAACTCGTTTCCTTTCTATTTAACTCAGAATAATTCCGCTGATAATTTGAATCCTTGCACGTTCTACTGAAATTTACATACTCTGGCATTGGCAGTTCCAGGGGAAAGTAAGGCTTGACAGGAAAGATAGTTTAAACTTAAAATAAATGTTAGTTAAAATAAATATAAACCCTACAACTGTTTTAATTGTAAAAATGCTGGCCATATTGCATTTTATGATAAAACAGAATCAGCTGAGAAGATGTGTTAACTGTTAACAGCTTCTAAATATATTACATTAAAGATTTCTTAGCTAAAACTTCTCAGTCTATGACAAGTAAGAACATAAATACAGTAGATATTGATAAATGCATTTTGAATGTTGCCTTATATGTTCTAGAGTTCAGTAAAAACTTATTATCAGGATGCACTTAACATAATTAAGTTAAATTTTTGATAACAAAGTAACAACAAATAAAGAAAGTAAAATGAGTTTAGAAGGATAATGAGCTGAAAATGGTTCGCATAATATAATTCTTTTTAAGAAATTTTAAAATCCAAACGCTTTAACTGAAGGAATGACATTTGAGGCTATAATATGGCATACAAAGAACATATCTTTGATTAAATTATCTGAATCAATTTGCTTTGCTATCTGATAGTATGTCGATTTCAAATTGACTGTCTAAGTAACAGTTCTGGCTGTGAAAATATTTGCAAACTCAAGATTACCTTTTAATTCTGAAAGAATGAGAGCTAATACATGCAGAAATCATTCATGCTGATGTGTGTGGACAAGATCTAGTAACATAGGATGAAAAGAAGTATTTTATAACTTTCCTTGATGATTATATACATTTTTAATGGCATACTTGATAAAAAGTAAACATGACATGTTTAATTAAAAAAAATTATATAGCAGAAGTAGAAGTTAAATGAAACATAGCTAGAAGCAGAAGTGACGTAGCTAGGGTGGGGCAAGAGGGGACATCTTGCCCGGGCGCAGCATCCAAGGGGCGACAAATTGATGCTACAAAATTTTTTAATGAAATGTTTTCCATTCTTGGCACACAGAAAGGGGCGCACATTTTTCAGTTATCCTCGGGTGCTGGAAACTCTAGCTATGCCACTATATAAAACTATCAAAATTAAGATAAATATCTTAGCCAGACAAATGCTTTGCCTATATTTCTTTCCTCTAAACTCATTGTTCTTGATGTTAGGATTTCATTTTCCATAAACATATTACATTTCTTATGTCTTTAACTATACTATTATCTCAATGAATTTTAAGATAACGTTTAAATTTCCTTTTCCTTTCTAGATTTTTTATTTATTTGAATTTGCTTTCGCTTACATTAATACTTCTAATTTCTAAATTATCTCATGCTCATATAAATTTTTAATTTCTTCCAAATCATGATATGTCACTCAACACCTGAAATCAGTTGTTATTTTTTCTGCTAAACAGAATAAATTACATTGTGTCAAAAGAGAAAATGTTGCAAATCCATAGCCCATAATGTATGGGAACTTAACATATTTTTGATTTCTATCTGAGTATTTAATTATGTGTTAATTTTAACTTATTTCTATTTATCTGGCTTTTGCATTACAATTTTCTGTTAGTTCAAAAGATGACTATTTAAACTTATATCTGCTTTAGAATAAAAATATCATTTACATACTATTATGCAAATTTATTTTGCATAATTATCTTTAAAAATTAGTTTGATTTAAAAAGTGTTGAGAAAGCTTAAATTCAGTTTCAAAAGTAATATGTAAGAGGATTAAATTAGAATATTTTTCAAACAATAACTTGATTCTATTTCTTACAAGAGAGTGCATAACTATTTTCAAAATTATTTAATACTTTTTAAAAAAAAATTTAAATTATCCAGCAGAACAAAAGAACAATTCACAAAATAATAACATAGTAAAGAGCAAATTCCCTTGGTACTTAGTTACATGTTATTGCAACCACCTTAGTAAAATTCACGAAAGTTTTAAAATATACCC